TCCGGTCGGTACGATAAAAAAAATAATGTAATGCGATGCGCGTGCGTGCGCACACGTGTAGGCAACAGGTGGGTACGATCGCGCGGTCGTTTAACATAATGGCAACAGCGACGAAAACAATTTACGAAAAAAAAAAAAATTAATAATAATTAATAATAAATGGAAAAAAATCTCGTTCCCTTTCCAATGCGGCGGCGGCGCTCGCTCGGACTCGTAAATCCTTCGCGGTCTCCTCGGGCTCGTCACCGCCCGCGTTACCAGATTTATGAGACGCGTCCCGTCGGCGCGTAAAAACCTCTGCCGCGCGCGCGGCAGTCGCCCCGGACACACGGAACGGTTTCGGCGCGATAATAATTACCGGTTATCGAATTTACACCATTTGCCGGTCGTCCGTTCGCCGATACGTAAATAGAGACGTAGTGCAACACTCGCGCAGGGCGACGTGGTTACGGCCTGAGGCGTGCGCGACGGATCTGGGACCCGCGGAAACCGCGCGTTTGTCAAAACCGGCCGCGCGATGATTTATTCGCCGTGTCGGATTCGGCGGAGAAAACACGACGGTGGTAACGAATTCTCACGCGGCAACAGCCATTGCTGCTGCAGTTGTTACGAATCCGTCGGCCGGTGCGAGCTCGGATTATCGACCGATTGCGGGAGGGCGAAGTAATGGACCCGCAGGCGATATTTTCAAACCGGCCGGGGCTTTCTGGAAAAATAACTTTGCGCGCAATGCGTTACAAAACATGTAACGCGCTGAGATCGGTTCGAATTAAAATTCCGAGTTGCTCAAGTCAGCAGCACCGTTTTCAATTCTTCGCAGTTTATCGCGTGCACCGTTCGTGTTGAACGTGTGTACAAAAAATCAATTTACGAGCGCTTATATGTAAAGAGGTAACAACAAAGTTGTTACAAAGCAGTTGCACTGTTGCTCGGTTTCGGGAACTGGTTTAAATTTATTTCTAGTCGGTCTCGTTGTTTCGGCCAAACGTTTACAATTTTAATAATCGAAAAAATATTAATATTTATAATGCACATTTAACGTCGATGCGTTTACTTAAATGTACAAAATACCATAACAATCCATGGTTCGATTATTTTTCGTGTTAAAATAAAAATAAAATAACGTTCATATTTTCGAAATGCTTAACATGAAATTAACGATTCCGGTCTGTTGATGCTCGTGGTTTTTGATACGTTAAAACTCACCAAAAACATGCAATACGAGTGTATGCCCAAATTTTATAATGCGATTTTCATTAGGAAGATTAATTTTTTAAACTAACTTTCCGATGATGGGTGTTACCGAAGAACAACCGTTATACCGAGAGTCCGGTACGATCGGTGTTCGTTTAGAGATTTAAATACCGTCAGTGTCGGGAGTATCGGGCGATGGATGGATCGAGCACAATGTGTTATCTAGATACGCAACAGGCGAACGAGTAAAATTAAATTGAAATACGCCTGTGATACACGACGTCGATAACAATAGGCGTTGAGCACAAAAGAATTTCGGTACTTGACCGGATGCGACGTAAATGTGTAGCATGATTTGCGTTTACTGTATAAAATATTACGTTATTATTACCGCGTTCGATTACTTTTTGAGTATATTTTCAAAAGCGACTCTCCGGGGCGGTGCGGCGACGGCACGCGCCGACGGTGTTATTATTGTTCTAAATAAAGGTCGCGGGAATCGCTAGCAAACAATGAGGTTGCAACGAGTTGTTGTTCAACAACGCCTGTACATTGTGGACCGGCGATTGTATTGTTGATTCGGTTTTTCGACCGTATTTCGTGCGCACGCGAGGAAGGAAAGTTCGGCCGAACGATTACACGCGATCAGGTGTTGGCGCGTACATATTTCTAATTGCATTGTTCGATATAGTTTCCAAGCGCGCAGCGGTTACAATACGATTGACGGTTATTTTATGATAAACCAGTTTCGACGTGCCAGTGAAGCGTCCATATCGGTCGATTTGATTTAAATGTTAATCGTTTTGACACCACCGAAATGCTGACGTTTACTGCGGCGGTGTATTCGATTTCGACTCCGAAGTAAATGACGCGTAAATAATCCATACGATTGGTACGTCGGAATTGAGACGAGTGCCCGACAGATAATGATTTTGATTCCATGCACACGTGTGTTCACCAACGTACGAGGAAGCGATTAATCACGCGCGGTGGCACTTACGGCCGTTCATGCACGCGCGTTGATCGTACGCTTTCGGTCAGGTAAAACGCGTCGGTTTAAGTTTTTTCAAGCGATTAGAAAACATCCCGGTGCACGAATCTTGCGCCCCGACCGACCGACTTCGTCGCTCGGACTCCGCCGCCGACCGTGCACACGATTTATTTAATATCAGATCGACCGATCGATCGCGATAACCACGTCAGCGTTGTATTGTTATTTGACGTTTGAGACTGTGATTTTCCGCGACGCGGAATCGATCGACCGTCGGCCGGTAGAAAGTCATTTATGCAAATTCCGCACCGATTCCAATTGATAACCCGACTCTCGCTCGTGACCCTTACGGACGGCATTATCAATGTTACGTAAGCGACAGACGACTGTGTCGTTCAAACACATCGCTGATGCAAGTGTAGAACTGGTGGTCCTCGGACGGAGTGCGATTTTCAGTTATCTTCGGAGGTAGATATTGTGATCCCAAGGAAACAATAAGCTTCAAGACATTTCTTAATACTCGTACTTATAAATTCGTATCCACTCCATTGGTTGTTATTCGGTTATTCATTTTTGAAATATTTCCACATTATCGGACGTATTTCAAGTTAAAATATTAATTAATTGATAACTTTACACTTCGTATTGTCGTATGTCCTCCACTATTCAATGTTAAAAACATAAAATAATATCATGGTATTTACTTCAATTTTTTTTAATATATAATTCTTTTTTTTTTTTATTTACACAAATTATCGCTTAGCAGTAATAAATTATTTTTATTTTGAATAAAAAGAGACAAGGAAAAATGAATCCAAACGATACTACTAAGTTGTCTGTTAAGTCAATTTTCGGTTGAAAAAATATTATACAACCTAACCGGAATTAGTAAAAAATTTGTTTGCATCCATAGGTATGAATTGTTCGCATAAATCCAAAAGTTTCAATAGTCGTATAATAAAAGACAAATATATATAAATAAATAAAACTAATAATGATAATTTATGTATTAAGTATATTAAGTTTGTGTTTAAGTATTTATTTATTAACTATCAATTTTACCGATGAAATTATTTCTATTGCCCGTTAGTCACTTCAATGACTATTAGACCTATTCCACTTTTGTTTACTATTATGATCTGAAGAAATATTTACATAATGTATTTTGGATTTGGGAGAAAAAATGATTTTACGATGACGTTCTTAAACGTTATTCTTTTTAGTCGTGATATTATTGACGAGTATATTCGATTAAAAACTATATAATATCGCCTATAAGAGTAGGAATCGCAGTTCATGCGTGCCATATAAATTGTAAAACAAAACATAGACGCGTTATAGGTTCATATTACAATTTTTTGCGTGCAAGACAGGGGCGAATTTATGGAAGTCGATCCTCCCTTGGACTTTTAATTGTACAAATTACGATCAAGTCATTATTCTACTTTATACATCGCCCATAAATGTTCTCCCTAGCCTCATCAAACAAACTTTAAGTCCACCCTAGGATAAAGGTATACGAATGTTGGCAAGGCCGTATCTAGGGGGTCCAGGGTGTCTGGACCCCCTTCCCCCAAATTTCTTCAATATTTTACGAATGTTTAAAATGCTTATTTATTTTTAATAACAACATAAATATTTCCAGTCAAAAATGACTTAAGTTCCAATTAATCATTGACTGCTTTTAATTTTATATCATAATATCAAATGAAAATATTATATTCATTTTATTAAAAGAAGATTAAATCTTTTTCCGTCTTATTTTTAACCAAATATCAATAGTTGAAATCTAAATTCAATAAAATTACAATATTCATGTTTTGGATTCCTCTCGAAAAAAATTTCTAGTTACGGTCTTGGATGTAGGCACAAGTTAGAACCGACCGTGCAAAATAATTGTATTTTGTAATCGGAACATTAACTATCACTTCGTATTTCCTGTCCGTCTAAGTGAGAGTAGATGTAACACACGCAATCGTTTCACATAGTTCGATTAAACATTTGATATTTTCACTGCAGTAGTCTCACAACGCACGCAAGTTACCCGATAATCTTTAGTCTCGATGCCGAATATGCCGAAATATTTTCCGGGCAGCATCGGCCGAATGATTCGACCGTAATCGGAGACAAAATTCAGCCGAAGAAAACGGTCAAACAACGTGCGGATTTCGGTCGAACTCACAAAATGATACGCTATACAGAAATGTATTGCTATTGGTTGCAGTTCAACACGCAGCATGGATGTCACCAGTGAAATGTTCCTGATGGAAACCAATTTACTAATAATATATTCATAATTGATTTTGGGTCAATGATATTTTCGCCGACGGGGGAAATATTAATAATGTAGGAACGTTTGTACGAATAGTAAAACAAATAGTCGGTGGATTCGGATTGAAAAAACAAAATGTTTTGATTTCATTCGGCATCGGCCGAATGTTTAATTCAGCCGACACCGGGTCTAGTCCTACCCTTGTGACACCGTCGTGCGTCGTAGGGGCATATTGAAACGGTGTTGCGCGACGGCATGCCTAGGGAGCTGTTGAACATTGACAACACAGTCCGACGTAATGTCCACAGTTCATATCTCGTTGAATATACACCATAAATTAATATATTTAAATATGTATATATTGAGTACGGATGTGATAATATATTGTGATAATATATTAGTGATAATATATTTTGTATTCATGTATTTACAACCGTTTCGGTTATTAACGTATACGTATGATTACGATCGTGTATTTGGGTACACGAGGGAGGGAGGGTACACTTGCATTCGAAAAGATAAAACGCGAGAGAGAACTCCAAATCAATGTTTTTTTTATTTTTCGACTCAACAAAATATTATACAAATAATAATAAAAAAAAACTATAAATTACAACAACGTTTACGGATAGAACACGGGGACGATGTGAGATCGTCACGCGCGAACGTATGGCAATGAACCCAGTGCCGGAAATCCCCTTCCGCGCAGGTGAAAAAACAGGGTGTGTTTTTGATTCTTATGTTTTGTGTATTTTTCAGCGTACCCAGTTGTCCACCGACCCCGCGGATCCGGCACCGGCAGTAACAGATAGACGGCAAGGACAAGTGATAGTAGGAGAGGAGAAGGAGCGGCGGGAAAGATAGGGAAAACGGATGTTTTACCGTTTCCCGCGACCGCTGCTCAAACGGCGACCGCCGACTCCGGTGCGGCCGCGTTCCCGCGTTCCCACGGCTGGTGCTGGTGCTGGCGGCGACGGCTGTCGGTCGAGGGCGTCGCGGCGTTGCACTTCTTCAGGTGCGTGCGCATGTTGCTGCTCTGGCTGAACGTCAGACCGCACTTGTCGCACGCGTACGGCTTGACGCCCGTGTGGTAGTTCATGTGCGTCTTGAGGTGATGTTTCTTGGTGAACGACTTGCCGCACACCGCGCACGCATACGGCTTGACGCCCGAGTGCAGGCGCATGTGCAACGTCATGTTTGACCGGTCGGCGAACGGTTTGTGGCAGACCGCACACGCGAACGGCTTCTCGCCCGTGTGTATGCGCACGTGCTGCTTGAGCAGCATCTTGCGGGTGAACGACTTGCCGCAGTGGTGGCACCGGTGCGGCTTCTCGCCCGTGTGTATGCGAACGTGCATGTTGTACGCCACGCGCTGGTTGAACGACTTGCCGCAGTGCTCGCACCCGTACTCCTTCCGGTTCCGGTGGATCTTCATGTGCGAGCTCAGGTAACCGCGGTCGTTGAACAGCTTACCGCACTCCGGGCAGCTGCCCGAGAACTCGCGCGTGCCCTCGTGCACCGACCGGTGGTACTTGTAGTTCCGCAGCTGGCTGAACTGCTTGCCGCACGACTCGCACACGAACGGTTTCTCGCCCGTGTGCGTTCTCTGGTGGATCTGCCGGAAAAAATCGCCGTTCAGTCCCGATTTCCGCGGCGAGCAACATATTATTGTCACCGTGTTAGCGGTACCCTTCAAAAGCATCCCCCGATGATGCGTCGGGAATACGCTTGTTGTTTGCGCGTTGCTGGATGCTTTTCGCAGTTGTTATCGGACCGCAATTATTTTTTTCATTTTTTAGCCACTCCGGGAACAAATTGATAGAAAACAAAAAAAGTAAAATCGTGTGCTTCGTGTAAAGTAAAGTGTTATATTCTATTGTTTATATAATTTTGATCAAAAATCTAATCGATGAATAAAATACTTTAATTTTCAGGGATTTTATTTTATTTTTTTAATCAAAAAAAAAAAAAAAACTATCCTAATTAGGCCATAAACACGGATATTAATTATAAACAAAAAATTAAGTAAAAACGAATTATACGGACAAAGTTAAAAATATAATGATAATCCGCTGCTGTGTAGTTAGTATGCGTTTTTATTTTTCAAAGTAAAACAATGAAATAAAAAAATTATATTAAGTTAGTACTTTAAATCGTTTCTTGATTTTTTCTCAAATAATTTATGTGCAGAGGTAAATTCGCCAATACATAGTATACAAATTTCTTAATAATAATTATAATCATTAACTGCAATATTTTAACGTACATCGGACAGTCCCGGACTGGCTAAAAAATGTAATATTTTTTTTAAATAAAAAAATTAAGAGTAGATCAATAAATTCCAACAAGTATCCAACAATGTGATGGACCCCGTCGAACCATTTGACATTTAAGTACGTTCGAACTATTCGATGGTTTCGATACTATTGAACTGTTCGAATATTCGAAATATTCTGTTTTTGAGGACGGACAGTTTTTTTTTCTTTCAAAACACCTATTGGAACTTGATGAAAAGTCTTTTTCATATATTTTTTTTTAATCATTTTAAATTTTTTCGATAAAAATATCTTGAAAATTTAATATAAGGTTCTTCATAAGTTGATCTCCGTTGATAAAAATATCGACAGTATTTATAATGTTTATAGGTATATGAAATTTAGATGAAATAACAATAAAGACTTTATAGTAGTTTTTTCGAATGAAAAAGTAGTCTTTAGTTTCATTCGAATGAAAGCTATTCGAATGTTTTATTGATATAATCGGTCGTGTCGATAACTATTCGAGTAAATTATTCGATAGTTTGTTACAACTATCGATCACTATTCGATAGTACAAACTATTCAATTGTGTCCATCACTAGTTTTCACCCGTGACTTCGGTGGGGTAAGTAGATCACGTCATCAGAAACGATTAACAACGCTTCGAACTGATCACATCTGTGCATCCAGATATACGTGATTATTTTTACGATTTTTTTTATAGGATGTATTATACGAGTTGATTTTGGTTTCGTTTTAAATGTTCGTGTCACAGAAAACTTTAAAACCATCCCAGAGTCAGATGATGTTTAAAAAAAAATGTTGACCAGTTTCGTAACCATGATCGTGGTGACTTGAAAAACGGTGGGTGTGCTACCGATAAACAGTTAAGATCCTAATTAACGGTAAAATCGTAATAACTATTGATTATTGTTTATGAATGATAAATTCAAAATTAATCTTCTTTTATCTTGACTGATTTATAATTTATATTCTTTAAATAGTAATCGGTTTTAAATTCTGAGCGGTGCATAAACTTATTGATTTTAAAATATTTTATATATCAAAACAGCTAAAGGGCAATCAAGATAAGTTATTATGTGGCACTCTTTTGATTTCAACAATGACCACAGGTGGTATAACGGAATGATTGTTTGATAACGAAACAGAAAAACGTGTGTGGGATGCACACCTTATTTGGCTGGTCTGAAATTGCCTGAGAATAGTTTTGAAAACATACTCAACAAACACATAGTTCAAATTCAAAACAATAATAACAACAACAATTGTTTTGTCAATTTTAAATTTAAATTGTTTTGTTATTTGATTATTATTTTAATTTCTATATTTTTTCGTAATATGTTTTATTTAAGAAAAATTAACTCCCTCAACAAAAAAAAAAATTATAAAAAAAATTGTAAGATTTTTAAATTTTTTAAACGACTTGTAGAATGTACGATTTACACAGATGCATTTGACATACTATCAATAATGACAAATAGTTTAAGTTATAAATTATCTAAAAAAAAGTATGAGATGATCAGTTCGTAAACGTGTTATTATCAAACAATACAATAACGTTACCTTGAGTGATGCTTTAGTCACAAAAGTTTTTCCACATTCCTGACAAACGTGGTTTTTCGTTTGATTCGCATTCCGGTCTTGTTCCGGAATCCCGTTATTGTTAGCGTCACTAGTAACTCTTTGATTCGGATTCGTATCCTTTTCTGTGTCTGAAGACGGTGTGGACGGCGTTAAGACTGTTGTGGATTCGTCTAGTGGAGTCAGTGGTAGCGGATTTGGTAGTGGCTCTTTTTTAATTTCCGTTACCTAAAATGAAAAATTGGTTATAACGTAATCGTTTATAATTAATACATATAGAAAGCGATAGATCGCCGGACGGGTTGAAACTAATTTTCGGGGTTTACATAAGATTGAAATGATTAATAGGCCAGGCGGTAACGTATCAATTACGTGCAAAAAATGAATGCAATGATTCATGTGCCGAGAATAATAGGAAACGTGATTATTATAAATATTATGTACATACGGGGAATGTTTGAACAACATGTACATGTGTAAAAATGCAAGATAGTTTGTAAACAGTAGAGAATTTTCATACGTTACGTGTAAATAGTCGTGGAAAAAAAAAAGGAATTACGAATATTCGTGCACCTTCGTTAAACCACGATTTGCGTAATTATTCAAATAAGCTTTATAGTCGACTCGCACTGCTCACAATATTTTTAAACACGTCTTATTTTAGATTGAATATATTAAAATAATAATAATAAAATAAAATTAGTATAATGTGAAAGTATCAACGCACTTTTGTTTAAAAATATTCGAAGTATGCGATATCGCCCACGGTCCTCGAAGACCAGTCACGATTAGAGATTATCCAAAATCTCAATTGCAACAACAGTGTCGTATGGTAATTTATGTGTGATGATGCCGTGCAGGCATATAGTAATGTTGTCTATAGAGCAAATACTGTTAAAGAGAGAGAGAGAGAAAGGCCACTTATAAATATTTTGCTAAAGATCTACTTTTAGACTGATCTCGCTTATTGATTCGGTTCTTATGGTATGCAGAGGATATGATATTATTATTATTATTATACTCGTTGCTTATAATAAATTAAAACTAAAAAAACGTTTTTATAACGTTTACACTGTAGTGTGATGTTCATTAAGATATTCAATTATAAATACACGTATTATTGCAGTTTTAGATTCTCTGATTATATCATATATTGTTCAAAAGTTCTTCTATGTTTGCCGTTGGTCAGTGATTCCCACAAAATAAACTTACGTAGTAGGTCTTAAAGTAACAAATCATCGTAAATAACGTGCAGAGGAAATAGAAATTTATTATTTATTCAGTAAACAAATATATAGAAATATTAATATTGTTTCTTACTCAAATAAGAAGTTCTAACATATATTTGAAAAGCATTTAAAATGTTTGCTGATTGAGTGTAAACCTATATTAATTAATAAATTGCATTAACTTCTAGGACGTTGATGGGTAACATATATTAAATTATATATTCATAATATATTATATTGTACATTAGACATGAAATAAGTGATTCAAAATAACGTGACATTTTAATATTGTGACAATGCAAGTTGTAATACTTCATTATTTAAAAATCGTTAATCATTATTATCGATGCGCGTTGTATTTATTATAATTTATACACGTTGTGTATTAAATGCAGATAGTTAGAACTGGAATTAGTATAGACATAATTTGACATGCTACTGTTTGTATCTATATTATAAATTATATTTTGTCGGTACAACGTTATTGTAAATTGTTTTAAATAAATTATATTTTCCATTTGAAAATAATACTAAGCGATGAAGTGAGAAATTACTTAAATAAATTGTTCTATGAAATTCAGTGACGTGTTCATAGTAATCACCAAACTTAGGCAATCATACTGTTGATGGGAGGATGGATTGGTTTTCAGCTAGATATTATAATAAATAGAAAGTGTCAGATACTTTGAAGATGATTATTAAAACTTAATACATTTACAAATGATAAATGCTTTTATATATTTTGAAGAAAAAAATATTACATTCATGATTTATATAATTAAAATTGGTTTTTCGTAAATTAAAGAATATCGTCATATCTTTATTGATTAATAATTAAAAAGTTATCTTATTAGAACTTTTTTAATATCCAACGTCAAAAATGTATAAGTGAACAGTGGCCAGGATGGTGAGGGGGGAGGGTAGGAATCATTGTTCAACTTCATTCATCTTGCGGATACATATGTTTCATATTATTTTTGTAATTATTATTAAGTTTTAAACTGATGAATAACGTTCGAAAAAAGATTTTAGACATTATTTATTTAATACTAACACTTTAATCGTATTATTGTTAAAATAAAGTATGCTTGCTCCCTATATTACATATATGTTTTATCTTTCTTTAGGTATGTTTTGTGATTTTTTTTTTAAATCCCTTATCATAACAAAAAAAAAAAAAAAATTAAATCATTATTTTAATATATTAAAAATTAATTTTTAATAAAATAATAAGTGTATGAGATTTAATGTAAGCTAAATTGGGGGGCGTTGAATTACAAAAAGGGGACGGTGACCGTTTTAATTTATTTCAACATTATGTAAAATATAGATTGTAGGTTGTAGTTAGAACATTCGTATGTTAACAAATAATCCAGTCTGTATCGCAATAAATGCAAGAACCTACACTATTTCTACTTTTATATGATCTGACATTTATGTGTATTATTAATTTAGTATACTAGCGGATGCCGATCTTGTTTGTGGTCGTTTATTGTTTATATAAGTGTCATATTTTTCATATATAATTTTATTTACAAGTTTTCAACATCATGACTGAATCAAAGAAACAATGTTGACAGTATAATATTGAATATTTGAAGTACGATTTCATACAGTCATCGAGAAATATTATATTACCGATGTGCCTCATTTACCATAAAGTTTTAACAAATAAAGGTAAGAATCCGTGAAGACTGCAAGTACATTTAATAAAAGTTTTTGCTAGTAAAAAAAATATGAATATATATTATTTTCAAACACTCGAAAAAATTTTTTTGAAACAGTCAACATGAGTGAGTATGTTTTCAATAACGTCGGAATAAGATGATGATGGATTGCGGTGCTTTGTATAACATTTATTTACTAATTACTGTTTGCTTTCGTTGGTCGTCAAAAGATGGTTGTTCGGATAGATTCTATAAGTTGTTTGACTTGGTGCTTGAGTTTTTTAAAACAATAGATGATATTTTACGCGATAGTTTAGATAATTGTAGAAGTTATATTGTTTATTTGACTGATCTGTTTGAAAAATGTAATGGTACAAATTTGCAGCTTCAAGGTGATGATTTGAATTCAATCAAAACAAAATATATTATTTTTGTATTGGTAACAAAACTTCTTATGTACAAAAGAAATATAGGACAACAAAAATGTATACTGTTTCTAAATCTATCAATGGAACAAACAAATGATGAAGATTTAACTACTTATAAGTAGATATGTAAAGAAATGTAAAGAATGCAGTGCTTTCAAGTGTTGACAGAATACTGTCAACACTCGAAAACACTACTATATTCTGATTTTAATAAACGGTAAGATATTCATATAAGGGATATACTCGAATGCAGGGGCGGATCTAGAAGGGGGGGTTCAAGGGGAAAGGTGACCCACAGTTAATATTTGTTGACAAAATTGGCTTCTTGGAAATTTTTTTCTCTTTTTAGACCTTGATTTGGACTCTTGGACAGTTGGCCCATCGGAGTTACTAGAAAAATGAATGCCTTGTTTATTCAAAATTTAAAATTTTTCAATTCATAATTTATATTTTAAATTATATCGTTTTAATAAAAAGTTAAGTAAATCATATTTTATTCTGTACGTTTGTTGCACTGATAATATTAGATTATATTTATAAATCGTAAATAAGTCATTATCGGTGGTATCACTAATTCTAAAATGTAATATAAATATACTTATACACTTTTATGAGCATATTGTGTTTTTTTTTTTTTTTACAAGGTATTAATTTCTAATTCAGTTTCATCCCTAATAAATGGTCTCTTTAAATGGCTTGACCCACAGTTCCCCTACTCTGGTTCCGCCCCTGCCCGAATTGGTTCTAGATACATTTTCAAAAACTGAGACGATAAATTCTCTAATATTAGAAGATGAATTTATAGAAGCATCTATAAATGAAGATTTAAAATTCAAGTTCAAGGAAGGATACCAAGCCTTCTGACTGTAAAAGTAAATACCTATACTTTATTCTAAATTGTGGGCTGTTATACAAAAATTTTTGATTTAATTTCCATCATCCTACTAGGTTGAACGTTAGTTAAGTTCAATAACTTATATCTTCACAAAAAAAAAAAAAAAAATGGTTACAAATAACGAATTGCGGGGACTTACGAATACTTCTTATGAAAATTGAACTGATTATCAACCAAATTCTAGCAAAACACCAAGCACATCCATCTCATTAGAATACTTTTTTTTTATTTTTACGTATACTATATATTATATAATCATAAAAATTAAAACTTATTTATAAACAATAAATATATTTTTCATTGCAGATCATTTTTTAAGAGGGGAGGGGGAAAGATAAAAGTTTAAGAACCACTGATTTAAACAAATATTAATAAATAACACAAATAAGTTTTGGTTTGACTATAGTAATAGGTATATATAAAAATTAGGAGTCTCTATTTCACGTGTATTTAAGAACACGTGTACACGTGTATTTAGAGTCCGTGTACTAGTGTATTAAAAGTCCGTACGATATGATCAGTGGTGGATACAAGGATGGGTAACAGGGGCACGTGCCCCATGTGGCCCTCCCCAATTGTTTTTTACATAAAGTAAACACAAATTTAATTTAACTTTTAAATATGAAACTTTTTTTTAATAATAAATGAATAACTAATGATTTGATTTTTATATATACGATTGTATTATAATATATTTTATAGTAAAAACACTTGAAAAATAATTTATAAATACGATCAAGACAATTCTTTTAATAAATTACAAATTTATTTCATACATAATAATATAAATTATAAATTTCGTATTTGATTTTTCTAAAAATTATAAATATATATATATATATGTTACGGGCAAAGTATACAATTTAGGCAATATAGATAACAGATGATATGATTTAATGAAATATGATAAATCAATGAATAATGACATGTATTTATATTATTGATTAATTCATCTCAGTAGATATAATTTATTGCACCGCCAATCCTTTCTTGGCTGTGCTTCCTTTTC